CTCAGAGACTGATGTTGGTAAGAACAGGGCACTTGCTTCTGTACAAAAACTCCAAGAGCTCAACAATGCGGTTTTAGTCTCAGCTTTGACCACAAAATTAACAAAAGAAAGCCTCTCTGAGTTTCAGGTATTTTATTTCTTTCCATTTATTGTTTTCTGTAACTCTTGGTTTTTGTGCAAACTAATTGCTTGTGTTTCGTTTGTTAGCATTTTTGTTTTCACTTTTCTGACAATGAAACAACAATACGTGTTTGACAATGCTGTTTTTTTTAATTTTATTTTCAATGCTTTGAAAAATTGAGAAGTCTTGAGAACATACTGTAATTTTTTTCTCCTTGTGTATGCTAACATGTTTCTAAACTGACCATATTTATAAAGCAAGTACTGATATTATTTTAATACCCTGGGGTATGTGATTGATGGATTAGTGAAATTATTCATTGTACTGTAATAGTCCAAGGTCTAATTTTACCTATCGTGGTGGCCTTAAACAGTTGTACGCACAAGTAAAACAAAGGAGTGATTTACGTGCGGTGAAAAGTAAAAGAGAATATAAAGGAAAATAAATAGTGCTCCACAATATAAAGGAGTTGGAATTGTGTTTTCTTACTTTGCTCTTCTCGCACTGTTTACATGATGCTCCTCCTCAACTCTAGTAGTCTTCTCTTTTTATAGTACTTACCCTCCTTAACCACCATATCTCCGGTGGTTAGAAGGAGCATGTCCAGGGAGATTTGGGGTGATCTCTCCGCCACCTCCGCAACTCTACTATCTCTTTTGTCATAACCAGGACAAATATTCCCCATCTTTTCATGTTCTTGACTATGATGGGAGAATATTTGCTCCCTGGACCCTTCCTCTTGGTTGCCATGCCTCCCTCCAACCCTAGGTTGGGGTTGTCTTTCTTTAACATATATGACCCGACCCAATTCTTTGGGTTGGGCTACTGACTGAAATGGGATGGACTCTCCCTAATCCATTTCCTCTCTCTTTTATACTTATTACTTTGGCCCGGCCTAGTTACCTATTACTTTGAGCCGGGCATTTACATTTAGTTATTATACGGACTAATCTATCCCGCTATTTATTTTGGGGGCCACATTCCCATCAGTGATATATCATTTTAAGTAGTACTACACTGCGTGCGACTCAAATCTCAAATTAGTGATATATATATATATATATATATATATATATATATATATATATATATATATATATATATATATATATATATATATATATATATATATATATAAAAGAAATTTTAGATAAAAAAGACATGTGCCTTCGGCTTAAAATAATCTTCTCACTTTCTTGTTTGAACATTTTCATATAGTACAGGGACCTTACTTTATTCTCCTTTTGGTTTGTTGCAAAATAAACTTTACGGCTCCATTTGGTACACGGAATTCAAACTATGGAATTGGAATTGGAGACAATAATTCCAATTCTGTTGTTTGGTAGCACAAAAATATGTGGATTTGGAATTGGTAGTGCCAACAATGAATTGAAATTGAAGAATTCAATTCTATAGAATTTCAACTCCCAATTCAATTCCAATTCTGTCAATTCCGTATACCAAACGGACCCTACATTCCTTTTAAGGGAAGCATTGTGTCAGTTACAATATTTCCCTCCTCTGCATAAATCTGAACTACACAATTCCTCTTTTTATTGAATTCCATAAAAAGGCAAATAAGAAGTTTAATTTGAGATGGATTGAATAATTTTTTTTATAATAGACATTTAACACAAAACATGAAATGTTATCAGAGTAACCCTTAGATTTCTTCACGTGCTAGCTATGTGTTGATTTTTCATATATCCATTAAGTTATGTGCCATATTTTCCATCGGTGTGAATACATGATTACATTGTTTAATGCTGGTACTTGTCTTTCAGCAACATTGTGGTGTGCTGTAAACACTAAGACATCATTTAAATTTCTGTGTTGAACTTTTTTTCCACTCAAGTCAACACCATATTTTTAAGTCCTATCACTGTGAAGTTATTTTAGTGCATTGAAGTTACATGGCTGAGTAATATATAACTGTTGCACAGGCTGTGGTTTTCACTGATATCAGCTTAGAAAAGGCTGTTGAGTTTGATGACTATTGTCATACTCATCAACCACCCATAGCATTCATCAAGGCTGATGTTAGAGGCCTTTTTGGTAGCGTGTTCTGTGATTTTGGTCCTCAGTTCACGGTAGTTGATGTTGATGGTGAGGAACCTCATACGGGCATCATTGCCTCCATCAGTAATGACAACTCTGCTCTTGTAACATGTGTGGATGATGAGAGGCTTGAGTTTCAGGATGGTGATTTAGTTGTGTTTTCTGAAATTCGGGGCATGACCGAACTGAATGATGGAAAGCCAAGAAAGATTTTAGCCACTAGGCCTTACGCTTTCACTCTTGACGAGGATACAACAAATTTTGGTGCATATGAAAGGGGTGGTATAGTTACTCAGGTAAAGCAGCCAAAAGTTTTGAATTTCAAACCATTGCGAGAAGCTCTTGAAGATCCTGGTGATTTTCTTCTCAGTGATTTCTCAAAGTTTGACCGCCCTCCACTTCTGCATTTAGCATTCCAATCACTGGACAAGTTCAGGTCTGAGTTTGGACGTTTCCCCAATGCTGGCTCTGAAGATGATGCACAGAAACTTATCTCTATTGCCACTGTCATGAATGAGAGTGCTGGAGATTCAAAAATAGAAGATATAGACCACAAACTTCTCAGACACTTCTCAT